GTTTTCCTTATTCCTCTTTTAATTTGTGCATAATCATGGAACTATACCAGGGGATAATACTGAGGTGGTTTTCCATTGCATTCCGCCAGCTGAACTAAAGGAATCACCATTTCCCATCCGCAAGGATCTCTCGCCCTAGGCCGGTGTCCTTGCATGTACGAGGTCGTAACATATCCGCCGTTCGCTTTCGAAATTCACCAGATTTGCCGTTGGGCCGTTCACCGATACTGTATCCCAAGGGCCAAGACTGTGGAAAAAGCAAACGGAGAAATAATGTGAGTGATGTCTTACTATTTCTGTCACCCTACATACTTGGGCTAGATGGGTGCCACATACTAATTAAATTACTTTAAATGTACTTTAAATATTTTTGTAGTCGTACCTGTTACCTAGAGAACCTCTACACAACTCAAGCACGTCTTGAAAGCTAGAAATTTTAGGAATTAAGGAAGATGTTTAAATGTATATACTGTATGATTCCGGTCTTTTAGTCCTTTCCTGGAACATATAAAAGAAAGGTGATTCAAGTATAAGCTATAAAGTACGAAATTTTTAGAAGATTTTGCTGGACTTAACATTTTAAAACAGTACGAAATTTTTAGAAGATTTTACTGGATTTAACATTTTACTGGATTTAACTGAAGCTAATTTAAAGCCGTAACAAAGGTAAGCATACATGCATAAGATGCATTCTTCTCAGATACCATGATGAACTATAGATATAATATATAGATATATGAAAACATGTGAACTACACGAGGTTTAAGCTAGCAAGATATATTTGCTAAAGATGTAACAGCGCATGAAAAACACACGTCATGCAGAAAAGCCTCATTTCTATATTTTTCAGGTAGTTGCATTTGTACACCTTGCATGGAAGTTTGTCCCATTCGTGCCTAGCTCTAATTGGTTACCTATAGTTTAATTAGAATTTCCAGCTATAGTACTTGTGTACAGAGACTTGTGTATATATAATTATAATGATACTCTACATGTGAAATTTGGATTAAAAGTTACATTAAGTAACTATTTCAAGTTACATTACGCGGTATTAAGCATTCTAGCAGTTTCACCTCACTCAGCCAAAGGCATTTGGACAAGTAAATTATATCAATAAATTAAAATTGATATTGCTCTATTTCCGAAATTGCAGCAACTCAATTGCCTCGTGTAATATATAAAGCCTTCAGTCAAGAGCAGCATGCACCCCTAGCTGGTTGCTTTGTACCGCTACCATGCACACACACAAAATCACAAGCTGATGATCATGAAAATGATCATGAGAGCCTTTGAGAAAAAGCGCAAGCGTCGCACTGTTTTTTTATTTTTATATACGAGACATTATATAAAATGGTATTTAAAGTTCAAGCAACTGTAAAGGCGATTAGTCTTATCCTGCATGCGTATGTATAGTCGAATAAATGCTGTTAAAATGTCATATTTCAAATTTCGCCATGAACTGATGAACATGCAGAATAGCGGCGTCAGCAGTCGTTTTCATACGCCATGCAGCCTGCATGACAATTGTATACGCGGCTATAGTCTTATATAGTCGTATCGTGTAAATGGGTCTTAATACAGTGTTGGGACAATTTAAAGAATATATAAAGGGCCAAGTCAATCGTCAATATATATATATATATATATATATATATATATATATATATATATATATATATATATATATATATATATATATATATATATATATATATATATATATATATATATATAGCTTAAGATTTTGGTTTACGAAACACAAACAGCGCTCAATACCATATAGATAGAGCGTAATATAGTTTTTCGTTTTACCTCAAAAAACCACAACAGTCTGTTTCATCCGTGACCACCTGATGATTCCTATACGGATGATATATTTCATCCGTGACCACCTGATGATTCCTATACGGATGAAACAGACTGTTGTGGTTTTTTGAGGTAAAACGAAAAACTATATATATATATATATATATTATCCTCTGTCTTCATATTTACCAGAAGAAACTATAACTGATGCCAAACGAATACCAAATTTCACCGCTGTGCCTGTGAATAGAATAGGACGGCCCGTTCATTGACTTTGAATTTTATAATTCATATGAATTAATACATGATATTGAATTCTGTCCAAGCTGTTGGACAACAGAAATAATCTTTATCAATCCAAAATAATCCTATGAAAATTGAAAACAATTTCAAAACATGGCCTTTATTTTGCTGTAATATTATGGCGTAATTAATGATGGAAATGAACCGGTCGTGAAGAATTAGAGAAACAAAGATACTGAGCGTCATCAGCTATTGTGAATACAGAAATTAAAATTCAATGAAAGAGATATCGCATAATTCATATGCATATATATAATTATACTGATTATACATTCTTATTGAGTGACGGGTGCACGCAAGCTAAATGCTTTACTTGTGAATTACTCCTAAAATTCAATATACCAAAGGGATTCTCATGCAGCATTAATTATATAGCTACATATTATATTCTGTATAAAAATGAATAAATACTTAAAAACGAACAACAAAAACAACAACAATGACGACAAAAACAAGGAATTCAAATAAAACACAAATGCATATATACATTCATATATATACGTTATCTGATTACATCAAGTATTACGCTTACTTATATTCTTTAATATATATAGTATATATATATTACCTATACTTAGCCTAGACTATTTACTTTACAACAATGGGTTATGGGTGATTCCAGCTATACTATATAGACTAAATTTTGATCAAGGCAAGAAGAGCGAATTTAAACACCACAGGCACAGCTAGAATTAAAGAGCGTCTTAGAATGAGTGAACTGCAACTAGATTGCTAAATGTTGTAAAATTAAGAAAATATAGCCCTGAGAAGTCCGCAAATTTTCGGTATATATTTGTATTACTTTCGGCTCAAAAATGGTTATTTTCCCCATGCGTAATGCAAATATATACAAAGCAATCTACAACAATTCGTAACCAATTAAACTTTGCAATGTTACTCTTTTTAAGATGCTCTCACGGTCTAGATCAAAATTTCGTCAAAAGCTGGAATCATCCATTGTGATACTACCGGCTTTCGTATTAAACTATGTTTGTTCTGAGTCTGACCCACCCTGTCAACTTTCCCTGTGGGTGGAAACCTGGCCAGTGCCGGGAGATACCCAAGACTTTCGGCACAACGTTGAAATGCACACTCTATTCACATGAGTCCGTCAAGCCAAGTGAAAGGCGCTTAATTATTCTGACAACTGCGCCACCGAAGCCCCATTTGCAGACTTGGAATATTAATTACAGAACTACTTATTAGTTTAAGAGGAGGGATTAAATGGGATGTGATTCGAATAAAATGAATATTCAGTGTATGCATTGTTATTGCATTGGATGGTATAATCGATCGTCAGGAATAATCCGCCATCAACGAATGCTCGCATATAGATCTTGTCAAACATGTCGACTTGATGCAACACTGTTCGAGGGAATCCCAACCCAGATTGTTGATAAAAGGAGTAACGTGGCTATCACTTGGATCATAGATAACTTATATACACTAGATAGTGCATCTAATTATTCGGCAATTCAAAAATTGAAGCCGTGATTGCAGACTCAGGATATTCCCATGAAATGAGAAGACTCGTATGCTTTCTATTTCTTAAACAGAGAACTTAAACATTAAGTTAAACCTATTCCAAATACATTTTCAAACTATTCAAATGATGAAAGTTATTGCTGTTTTTTAAGCGTTTATTAGCGAGTGGGAAACTCCAACATGGCCGCCATCTATTCAAATGGGGGTAACCGCTGGAATAATCTTGGCTTCAATTTTACTAAAAGAGATGCGCAATCTAGTGTATATAAGATATCTATGGGTTGAATCATTTCGATGTTGTCAACGTTCCTCTGCCCTTCTTCTAAGGGTTCCACACAGGGCAGACATATTGTAATTGTCTCTTAACTTGATGTCAGTGCTACTACAGTGTAAAGAATTTTTCTAAATAGGTCAATTTTACTATTCCAGTTTAAGTTCAATCTTGTACAACATCTTTCGGTACAATACTGGTTTAGTATGGCTTCTAGCGTTTCGTTGAGGATTTGATTATTAATTAAGAATATATTTATTCCTTGCTAATGCAAAAAAAGAAAGCGGGATCTAAGTTCCCACGCAAAGAGAAAGTTTAGCGTGTTCATTCACTTGTCTGTATTGCATAAACAGAGCGCATTTGTAAATGTATAAGACGTACACGCATACATATACCAAGGGAACCTGTAATCCAATTAGCCCGCCGGCATATAGCTGTTGATATTTCAGATACTGCATGGGCATGATTTATCAAACAACCATTATAAAATAACATGTATATAACGCGTATTCTGATTGGTCGAAAGCCGTGTTTGGATCAGGCCATCCAAACACGGAAGACTACCGTGTTGTTGTTATTTTATAAAACAATTACTTTATGGTTTCCGTGTTTGGATGGACTGATCCAAACACTTGGGAATGTTGCTCGAGTTAAGAAAAGCGGGCAAAATCACTCGCCGATTTCGCTCGCTTTTCTTAACTCTCGCAACATTCCCGCGTGTTTGGATCAGGCCATCCAAACACGGAAACCATAAAGTAATTGTATAGTGACAAGTCAGAATATCGTGCTCATCAAGTCTGTTCTTGTGACTTTACTACTGTAGTTCTATACACGACTGTTTGATATATATATAAGCCAAATGAATATATAGATAGAACTAGATCTACGACGTGGCAAATCTACGACGTGGCAACACAACCTATGCAACGGCACGGTTTCGAAATAAAGAAATTTTTTAACTAATAATGCTAAACACAATAATTATAGCTTTGGACTATAGCTGAAAATGCGAAGAGCGCGCGTCGTCGAGTTTGGTGCGTCGTAGATCTTAAACAGTCTAATAGTTTAAAAGTCAACCGTTTCCACATTGAAAAAGTAACAGTAAATTATGAGTAGAATACATCTATTTTTTGCTATGACCATTCTACTTGGGTGTGGATTTTACTTTGTTGGATATATTCTCCACACGGTAGCGCTTAATGTTAATTTCAATACGAAATTAAAACCGAATTGCTCTGATGGATCTTGTATGCGAAACAGAAAAGTGAAAAATGATACTTCAAATATTCTTATCCTCACAAGCGGAAGGGCAGGATCTTCATTCCTCGGCGAGATTTTCAAACGAAACCACAAAAAAACACGGTACGTTTTTGAACCGCTGCGAAAGATCCTCCAAAATGTTTTTATTGCTGATCATTTGAAGTTTAAGGCAATAAATATAATTTCTGAGTCGTTCACGTATCGAAATACAAGGATCAGTGATCAGACTGATCAAAATGTCGTAGTGAAAGAGTTGAGTATGCGATTTCCTCAAAACGGATCATCTTCTGTCCTAGAAAATCTTATGCGAAATTCAAAATCCTGGAATATGCGCATCATTCATTTAGTTCGTGATCCGCGCCATGTTATTCCATCGATGCAACGACTTCGCTGGTTTGCTGGAAATGCCACGTCGCTGGAACAGCAAATACGTTCAGTTTGTGAGACAATATGGAGTAACATAAAATACGGCCGAAAAAGAAACTACGCTCTGATAAAGGATCACTACAAACTTGTAGTGTTTAGAAATATGATGATCCATCCTTATAAAACGGCTGAAGCCCTTTACGAGTTTGCAGGTATGGGTTCTGTGCCTGCTAGTGTGCCTGCCTGGATTAAATCCAGTACCAACGGGATTGGAAATTATGAAGGGTCGCTATCTTATAAGACAACTAGAAATACGACAAAAGTTCTTAGTAGAAAGATAGCGATGTCTGAAGAGACAAGCAATTTCGTACACAAACATTGTTGTAATATCATAAGCTTCATCCAGGAATTTCAAGAAATCGAGAATATCTAGGATTTTAAGATTTCAAAAGGAGCTGAAGAAATGATGGCCCGATTTATCTAGCCATATAAAGAGACGTGAGGACACATCATCCGTCTTGGGGTAAACACAATACGAGCTTTTATTGCAAAACTACGTTAAGCTTAGTAGTTAAATATTGCAGCTATTTGCGAATGAATTGTTCTTGTAAGGAGATATTTACCATGTCTCTAAGAAATGGGCCTCATATATGATAATTAAACTGATTAAATGATGCTCACATTATGCTTTACACGTTTAGAGTTTAAGGTTTGCAAAGGACAACTGGCCTTTTTTGAATTAGCTGTATACATAAACTTGCGGTTATACAGCTTGACAACTGGCCTCTGTAGCTATAACTAGCTATAGTTGCATGGTTAGAGCTCCGCACCGGAATCGCAGGGCCTCAGCCTTCAGGTTCGATTCCTGTCAGAGGACCTGGTGTTGCATTTTTCGCAACCGTTCCTGGTTAGGTCTCAAATTGTGCATATACAGACATACAGTATATGCTCATTTGGATTATCCGCTAAAACCAGCTTTATGTTATTCGTACTTAATTTCGCGCGTATCAATTTCGCCATTTGTTCGAGGCAATATTTCGCGATTTTGATAGGCGAAATATTTGTTATTTATTATCGATATATAAGCTATACAAGTTGTCGATCATATTTATCAAGAATTTTAATTATTCAAATTTTTGATTAGGGTATTTATTACTTCGCATGTATAAATTTCGCGAGGTTCTTTATTCGCGCGACTTTAATTTTACAATTTTGTTTAAAATCACGAAAATAAAGTCGCGCGAGGTTAAGTACGAATAAGGTAACTGGAAAAGAGCGATTCATACTGACAACGGTGCTGGGATTCATACTGGCAACGGTTCTAATTTTACTTAAGACCATATAAGGCTTTCATTAGTAAAAATGAGGCTTATACCACTAAAATGATCTTCTTATAAATTATTTTTAAAAAATTATAGTGAATAGTGTGCTTTAGAATAGCTAAAAAAGTAAAGAGTAAAATTAATTAAAGTATTGAATATATTAGATATTCTGGCTGATGAGTGGCAATAAAAATATTTCTATGCAACCATGCATGAATTTCATTGTCCAAAGTCGTACTCGTATCCGCACGTGCATCTTATTATGTGTGCAGGTCGACTACACATTTGATAATAGTTCAACCGATACAGACTTTGTCCTCACTGTCCTTCATAAACAATTACTATACCTGGCTACCTGCACATTTTAAAAATATACGTTAGAAATAATTAAATTGCATAAACAATACTGTACCTGTAAATTTCAGAACTATACAATGTGCAAAAACTCTAACTGCATAAACAATAAGATCCTCTCAGCATGGAGGCTCTCGCGGTATCATTGGGCTGGACCCATTAAAACTATATATAAATTTCGATAATTTGGACACGATGATATGGTTCATTCTACATACAGTATAAAACGAAATACAAAGTGTTGCCAGATTGCCATGGTAGCAACGTCTAAAGACACTTTCATCGATATCTATTAAATTGCAGACTGAGACTCTATGTGGCACACTTACCTATATGTATATAGTGAGGTTATAATTTTTGGTCGGGCCGTTTGTACTGAACAATGGGCAATTGTACAGTAAACATGATTAAAGGGGAAAATGGCGAGCTTTAAATTGGTTGAATTGGGTTGGTCAATTTTACGATCGTCGGACAAACTTTGGGCCGCTCCCCTAATTTTATTCCTCCCGTGTACGCGCCTATGGTTACTTTACGGCTGCATGTAACGCTTCTACTCGGCAAGCTACAACTACAAGCCTTCATCCAGTAGGCGAACTGTCTAGAAACTAGACCTGATGCATTTGTAGAAATTAGGCCCGGTTTAGACGCCGTGCTTTTCATGAGCCGAACCAGGGATGCCGGAAGATCGATAATAGCGGGTGCAGATATTCATATATTCCTGTTCTGCCCAATTAATTTCTTTTGAAATCGATTGTTTTTACAGTCTGTGAACACGAATATATGAATATCTGCACCCGCTATTATCGATCTTCCGGCATCCCTGAGCCGAACTTAATACAATGAATTAAGCACATGAGAAGCACGGCGTCTAAATCAATTAAGCACTGCACTTAATATTAAGCACGGCTAAATTATTAAGTTCGCCTGGTTCAGGCGTCCTACACGGCTGAAGCACATGTTGATATATACCGCCGTGCTTTACATGAGCCGTACCAAATGCATAAATTATGTTAAAATAGAACATTTATAGTACACGAGCGTTGATTGGTCGAGAAGCGTATTTCTACATGGGACTAATTTCTCGCCTAAACTTACAATCGTAAACAAAACAATTTTAATGCAAATTAAGAAACTTTAAAAAGAATTTTACCTACTCCGCTCATTTTGTAACTATTACAGTCAAAATACAAAAACGTTCCCACTTCCGCTTCGGTAGCTTTGTTTTGTATTTCTGTAATTTGTTCTATTTTTTCTGTATGAGTCTAGGACCTGTATATGAGTTTGTATGCGTTTCATTTACCACAGGTAATCTCAACTGGTTTAGGGTAAAATGACCATGGCGGTCAGCATGGCATATGTGCCAAAACCTGAATCCGGGACGAAAGTCCTGAAAATAACCCCGCCCTCGGAAACGGCAGTGCCGACATAGCTCTAACTTCCGAAAAGCAAAAGCGACAACCTTTCTGAAGTGCGAATAGTGTTTAGAAGGGTTGCTTTTAGGGGTGGTCATTGGAAGGAAGAATTTGTGTAAGTATAATATTTTACAAGAAAATGACCATTCATCACCCCAGGTAAATTGCTGATTATGCAGAAAATAACTAATATACCTGGCACTCTGGCAGAAATTAAATATCCTTATTTCCTAAAAAAACTTATCATGGGATGAAAAACTATGCTTAATTTAATATAATTATTGTACTTTTCATAAGGATAGTCACTGTTTTCTATAAATATAACATATTTTATTTCACTTACCCAACGAAAACACGATTTCAACCATATTTTGCCGTCTTGTTTGCTTTATATCGCCGTGTCTCGCAAATAACATCCAGTTGTTGTACTTTTACATAATGGCAAATGGCTAAGGAAGATTTCAACCAAGTTTCGGCAAGTTTTGGAGCAGTGCAGTGTATTTTATCTTCAATATTGTGTCCTTCGATATTTCGTCCAATATGCCGCCATTTTAATGGCTCGCCGATTCTCTGCCCGATAAATGCAACTTCTTCGTCTTCATATGTATTTAGATTACAGTATCCAAGAGTACTTCATTGTAGAATAGTCCTAATCAAAATAGTGAAAAGATTACTTGCACTTTGAAGGAAAAAACCTCCCACAACAAATTCAGGATAGGAATAAAAACAAATCATTTGAAAGTCACGCGCAATCTTCGCGAAAATTCCTTGACAGGGGGGGCGAATATTTTCACGAAACGTTGTTCGCCACCACAGCAATTCATGTTTCAACTAAATACAATAGTATTTATTGTATTTTATGATTTAAAAATAAAAACTAAGAACGATAAATATTTACGTATTGTTATTATCAATCATAAAAATGCAATAAATATAATATATCCAGACATCCAGTTATGTCGCTGTGGCGAACGTTTCGTGAAAATATTGCCCCCCCCCGTCAAGTAGCCACGAGGAATTTTCGCGAAGATTGCGCGTGACTTTCAAATGATTTGTTTTTATTCCTATCCTGAATTTGTTGTGGGAGGCTTTTTCCTTCCAAGTGCAAGTAATCTTTTCAATATTTTGATTAGGACTATTCTACAATGAAGTACTCTTGGATACTGTAATCTAAATACATATGAAGACGAAGAAGTGACATTTATCGGGCAGAGAATCGGCGAGCCATTAAAATGGCGGCAATTTGACGAAATATCGAAGGACACAATATCGAAGGTAAAATATACTGCACTGTTTCAAAAGTGGATGAAACCTTCTTTGAAATCTTCTTCAGCCATTTATAATTATGTAAAAGTACAATAACTGGATGATATTTGCGAGATTCGGCGATAAAAAGCAAACAAGACGGCAAAATATGGCTGAAATCGTGTTTTCGTGGGGGTAAGTGAAATAAAATGTATTATATTTAAAGAAAACAATGACAATCCTTATGAAATCAACAATATTTATATTAAATTAAGCATAGTTTTTCACCCCATGATAATTTTTTTTAGGAAATAAGAATATTTAATTTCTGCCAGGCATATTAGTTATTTTGCGCATAATCAGCAATTTACCTGGGGTGGTGCATAGTCATTTTCTGGTAAAATATAAAACTTAGACAAATTTTTCCTTCCAATGACCACCCCTAAAGCAACCCTTCTAAACACTATAAGCACTTCAGAAAGGCTATCGCTTTTCCTTTTCGGAAGTTAGAGCTATGTCGACACTGCCATTTCAGGGCGGGGTCATTTTCAGGACTTTCGTCCCGGATTCAGGTTTTGGCACATATGCCATGTTGACCGCCATGGTCATTTTACCCTAAAACAGTTGAGATTACCTGTGGTAAATGAAACGCATACAAACTCATATACAGGTCCTAGACTAGTGATTTAATACCACTTTATCGGCAAATATCGCGGTAGAATTTCCCTTTCTCTTCTTCATATACGTCAATTTGTAGCAAAGGATACACCTTTCGTTAGATTCTTTGCATCAAAGTTGCGAAATTAGGCTTATAGCGATATTTGCTGATAAAGGCAAAAAGGGTTACTTGCAGTGAAGTTGATGGAGCAAAGGTCGGCA